ATGTATGGGCATGCGAGTGGTCCTGTGGCGCCAACAACGTGCGTTATGTGTTGTGACATGGACGAGTTGTGATTATGGGTGTCTTGGGGGATGTGACTATGGGATTTGTATTGGGGATTGTTCATGTTGGGTTATGATCATTGTTTATGCTCTGCCTCATCTGCCTTATCTGTTGTGAACTGCATATGCTCGTTATAACTGTTGCTTGTGTCTGACCTTATCTGTCGAGTCATTCCCGGTTTTAAAGCTAGAGTTCGTAGGATATACTCTCATGCTGAAAATGGTTTTGGTATATCTATATATATATTGCTATATGTATTGTATTTCAACGCGTTGGAGTGGGTTACCAGCATCTCTCGCTGAACAGATATATTTGACTTTCAGGCACAGAGGACTAGAGCACTGGAGCGCGCTAGAACCGGAGCGTAGAAGTAGTATAGTTTCCCTTTCGGCCTGCGTGCCATGTTATGCATTTATATTTCGGAGGATAGTAGTTAGACAGCCTGTGCACCTGGGTTCTCTAGCCCAGGTGTGGCATAGCACCCCGAACACTTATGTTACGCTTTGGGATTTAATGAGATGTTACCTTTATTATTAAGTTTTAAATGTCTTGAAAATCAAGGGTGTTACAGCTTGTGCGTGAGTCCTTTATTGGAGACGCCCTTCGAGTCTTTCTTTATTCGCCCGAGTCCCTCAATCGAGGCGACTTCTCGGCTGTAGCTTCACTCGCCGAGTCCCTCAGTCGAGGTGACTCTTTGTAACACCCCCGATTTTACCATATTTTTAAAACTTAAATGCAAGAGATAAACAATCTAATCATCCATTAAGCAATAAGCGGAAGCAACTCTAAACGGGGGTATTATGCCACATCTTAAAGTACTAAAGATGCACAGGCGGGAAAACTAAACAGTTTAAACAAATCTTAAAGAGTCAAGGCACACAAGCCGCTCAAAAGGCTCACAGGCCATCAAAACATAACGTCTAGACAAGGTGACTAAGCTATCTATCGCTCCAAGTCTAGCGCTCTCAGGCATCTACTCAAAACCTGTAGAACATGGGAAAAACATGGGGATAACACCCGGTCAGCGAATATTGCTGGTAACCCATCAATACGCGTTAAATAGCATATATAGATAAGTATAAGTCAAAACCATTTTGAAACGGAATAGAGTATATATCATTTCAAAAGCCATAGAGAGAAGTAAACTTCAAGGACTCATTAACACTCTCAAAAGGAAAAGCAATCACCATCCTTACAACAATAACAAGACAAGAACATGAAAGACAATACAACTCAAGATGCATTCTACTGATCACAAAGTAGAATACATCAAGACATGCTCATAAGCAAAGAATACACATTCACACAACGGCAACTACATGCCACAGTCACAACTACATGTCACAAGTTTCATAGATCCAACCTTATGCCCTGTTCCAACCATATGGCTACCCCCGGCCTTATTTCAGTTCCAACCATTACCTCCTAGTGCCACCCTGTACTTCTGAGTCCAACCTTGTACTGCCAGGGACCGTCGTCCCCCCTCCAACATAGCCTCCAACATACCGCCGAACTCTCAGTACACGAGGGTACCATTAATTTCATTCACACAACCACCTACATGTGAGCAAAGCTCAAGTAACCACCACCCACATTCAATCATAGTCACACAAGTCATCATCATTACCAAGAAGACTAAGGTTCCACAATAACCTTAATCAAGTATCAATCAAAGGGTACAACGATTACATACGTTCATATCATAGGAATCAATCAATGGATCACAACAAAGACATGAAACCATATTCAACAACGAAGGATCACAATCCAACACCAAATGATGGTCAACACAAGTTGCCAATCCCAATAAGAAAGAACAAATCGCACATACTAGCATTTCAACATCAAACTAGCATGCTTATGAAACGGGTAAACCAAAAGTAGTTCCATAGAACATTCAAGACTCACAATAGTCCAACGAATCACAAAGTCGGACCCTTAGCACGATTCAAGACACCAAATCCTACATGGATTCCTAACATACCGTTCTAGACATACAAAACATCAAGAAGACTCACAAATAGCCCAACAAAACAACATCAGGAGGTCAAAACATCAATACCGAGTCAAAAGAATCACGGGGAACAAATCCCTGCCCATCATCAATAATGTACCCCGCGGGTGGGGCCACGGGTGGACAACCACCCGCGGGTACAACAACCCACCAAGCATTGTTCCCCGCGGGTGGGGCGGTGAGTAGGCCTCTGCTCGCCGTTCCGCCCGCGGGTATGCCCTGTACACCAACTTCATACACAAACCAAAAGACAACAAAGATTCTATCTTTTAGAAAAAGACACCTAAAAGGAGGTTAAAAACACCAAAAGACCAAGGATCTTACCCTCCCCTATGCTCAAGATGAAGAAAGTAGGAATCTTGGGAGACAACTTGCAAGATTTGGGATGCTCAAATACTAGCTTGGAGAAGAAGCTACACCTTTTTAGAGAGAAGCTAGAGATTTTTGTGTTTAGATTGTAGGGTGAATGAAATGAAGGAGTGTTGCTAGGTTAGCTTGAACCACAAAACTTAGGTAGAAAGACATCCCTACCCTTACTAAAGTTGGAAAGACAAGGGAACAAGGGCACAACTCAAGAAGCACAAGGTACAACCCTTTGACTTTAAGTGACTAGTCAAAATCTAGTCCCTCGACTATTGAATTTCAGGATTTTAAGAAATAAATTAACAAAGAGGCTAGGATTAATTCTCTAATTAATCCTTGATTAGAGTTTGTATTTACGGGGTGTCACATCCTCTCCCCCTAACAATAAGCTTCGTCCCCGAAGCTTGGACACGACGAGTTCAAACAAACGGGTAACAACGAATCAACCATGTGACAAAGGGAAAACAAGAATACCATTTAACCAAAACTTCAAGGATCCAAAAGGTGTAAGGTTTGCAAAAATCAAGAAATTGCAAGGTTTCAAAACGTCTCAAAAGAAATTTTCTTGAGCACACAAACGCTAAGGTCAAGACAACGAAAACTAGAAGCCTTCTAAACCACGCCTAGACTCAAACAACTAAATTCTAACAAAGCAAAACACTAAACTAACTATCCAAGCAACAAACTAACAAACAAGATAAACAAGAACAAGCAACAAGCATAGCCAACAAGCAACAACTACTAAACGGCAATAACAAACGAGAAAGAAACGAGCTTACCCCAACTCCGGCCTAAGAGGACTCATCCTCCTACTCCTCAGCATCCTCGTCCGAGTCTTCCTCAGCTCCAACATCTCTAGCTTATAAGTGCCGGCCTGGATAACTGTTGTGATTCGGTACGGGCCTTCCCATTTAATGGCGAACTTGCTTCCCTCAGTCTGTCGGCTAGCATGCCTATCTCTTAAGACCAGGTCCCCTATCTGGAACTATCGGATCCGAGTCCATTTGTGCCGGTATCGCTTAACGGATTGTTGGTACTCAACCATCCTTGCATGCGCCACCTCCCTTCTTTCTTCCAAAAAATTCTTTTTAATCCGAAGGTTTTCCTCATTCTCCTCATCCGAGTAGTGGAGGACTAGGTGTGTAGGCTCCACGACTTCCAACGGGATCTTTGCTTCAAAGCCGTAAGCCAGCTAGAATGGGCTCTCACCCGTGGCCCGCCTCTGAGTGGTCCGATATGCCCACAACACTCGGTCCAACTCGTCGGTCCAATTTTCACCGACATCCTCGAGCTTTTTCCGAATGCTATCCACAATGGTGTGATTTATGTTCTCCATTTGCCCGTTGGCTTGGGGGTAAGCGACCAACACCTTGGTGTGTCGGATCCTATGCCGCTGACAGAACTCGGTGAGTAATCGAACTATCGACCGTTATCGCTCACTATATGCTCGGGGTGCCCAAAATGGCAAATTACCTTCTTCCACAGGAATCGTCGACACTGATAGTCGGTGATTGTGACCAATGGCTCGGCCTCCACTCACTTAGTGAAATAATCAATGGCCACTACGCAAAATCTGAGTCGCCCCGGTGCCTGTGGTAGAGGTCCCAGAAGGTCGTTCCCCCACTTAGCAAAGGGGATGGCAGTCGTGATCGGGGTATAAAACGTAGCGGGTCGGGTATCCTTTTGAGCAAAGGCCTAACACACGGTACATTTTGTTACCCAGTCTAGCAATCCCTCATCATGGTGGGCCAGTAGTACCCTTGGACGACCAACTTCCGAGCAAGGGTATGAGCCCCATGATGTGCAGCTCATATTCCTCGATGTGCCTCTTCCATTATCTTTTCTGCAGCGACGGCATGGTGTTGCTGCTGTTCGGCCAACTCCTCGTCGGCGGGCGGTGGTTGGGCTTCAAACGGAGGATGGCTGGGCGGTGTTTGGCCGGGTGGTCGACGATAGGGGTGAGCATCGGTCGGTTTTCGGTTAATAACCGAAAAATATATACCCCTCCCATAACCGACCGAAATAACTGATCTACTAAACATAACCGAACCGACCGAAAACCCAAAATTTTTGGTCGGTTATTTTTAACCGAAGTTAATGACCTAACCGCCTGTAATTTCATAAAAATATTAGTATAAACTCAAGAATATTAACACCAATGCAATATTACTAGTTAAACTAGTCAATCACATAAAAATTGCAAAATCAAATGTCCATAAGTAATAGTGTAATACAAATTAGTCTTAACAGTCCATGAATTAAAATAAGTGCCAAACTGCCAATCTGCTTAGTTCTCACAGTCACAATCGATTAGTCCAAACTCCAAATTCAAAACATGGTCTTAAAATTACAAAACATAAGATAATATTCCATAAGAATTAAAAGTCTAACAAGTAACAACATGATTTAAAATATGCTCCAACTCCTCCAATTCTCCAAATGATCTCACTGCCAACTACCCAGTGCTCACTGCCATTTGTAAAACAAAAGAAATTCAAAACATGAATAAAATGATTACCCAATTAACAAATATATAATGTGCAAAACTAAATTATATTTTACCCATTTCTTCAATTGATTTTGACATCTTATGAGTCAATCACACCATCCAAACTAAGCTTTGACAAATCTAAAAACACATAACAATAAGGTTATTATATTTTGACATAGAATCAAAAAGTAATAAAACATAATATATTATGAACAACAAAATAAATACAAATAAAAAGTAAAGCATACCTAGGTCAAACTTATCCATTTCAGCAATTTCATTCTCCATATCATCCATACGTGCTCCTTGTCTGATCCAATCTTGAGCACAAATGAGTGCTTGCACTATTTTAGGAGTTAAAGAACTCATATAAGCATCAAGAACACACCCACTTGTACTAAAAGCTGATTCAGAAGCAACGGTTGATATGGGCATAGCTAATATATCACGAGCCATAGCAGATAAGATGGGAAATCGATGACTATTCTTTTTCCACCAAGCAAGAATATCAAAGTCATCATCATCTTCATCATCTTCATCATCTTCATCATTATCAAGCTCTTCATTAAGGTACCTATCCAATTCAGACTTTTGCTCTCCACAACCCATTTCAACCTTATACTTCTTAAAATCACTCTTATTCTTCTTTTCTTTCCCCTTCCTTTGAGAGATATCATCGGTTATAGATTGAGAAGATTGAGGTTGATGCATTTTTGTGTATTCTTCAAACAATTCAACCATTGCACTTCTAACTTTAACAGACAAGATAGAAGCTTGATCCTTCAATTGATCCGCACGATACATCTTTTTAAAGCAAAAATCAACAAAAGTATATTTGTATCTAGGATCAAGTACACATGCAATGTAAAGCAACCTATTCATTTTTTCCACATTCCCCCAATACTTGTCATACTTTTCAACCATTCTTTTAGCCATTGAACTAAACTCAGAATCAGTACTTTTCAACCACTCACATAAAGTAGAATAAACATCACAAACTTCATCAAGATAAACATTTGCAGTCACATACAAAGAACCAGATATCTTCACAGTATGATCATAAAACTGTTGCAAGAACATGCTTAATTTCCTAACACTTTCCCAATCTTCATGATTTGGAACACCATCACCAAACAAGAGATCATGTTTATAATTAGGGTCAACTTCTTCAAATCTCTCAAATTCCCTCTCAAACTTTTGAGCTGAATCTAACATCAAGTAAGTGGAATTCCATCTAGTGCTCACATCTAATCTCAACAAAGCTTTAGATTGAATCTTTTCCATTTCAACACAACCTTTAAATTTGAGCAACCTAGATGGTGATTGCCTCACATATCTTATAGCCACTCTAACTTTAGCTATTGATTCATTCATATCCTTCATCCCATCGGTGACAATAATGTTAATGATATGTGCAATGCATCTCATATGAAGATATTTTCCTTGTAGGATACTAGTACCCAAATTATTTAACTTTCTTTTCAAGTATCCTACGGCAACGTCATTGGAACTAGCATTATCAACCGTAACGGTGAAAACATTATCAATACCCCAATCACGCAAACACTTTTCAATTGCTTTACCCACATCCTTACCCTTATGACTTGTAATTGGACAAAAGTTAATTATCCATTTATGCAATATCCAATCATGATCAATAAAATGACATGTAAGACACATGTAATTCACCCTTTGCAATGATGTCCAAGTATCAGTGGTGAGTGACACTCTAACAGAATGAGAATGCAACAAACTATTCAAATTTTTCTTCTCAACCAAATAAATATCATAGCAATCCCTAGCAATAGTCTAACGAGAGGGCATTTTAAATCTAGGACAAGAAATAAACATACATTTTCTAAATCCCTTTGCTTCCACAAACTTAAAGGGTAATTCATCTTCAATAATCATTTCAGCTATACCCCTCCTAAGAGCTTCTGCACTATATTTCCCAAAACTTATTGAACTCCCTTCTTCAGTTACTTGACAAAATAACTCAGTTTGTGCAGGATCAGAACTAGTACGTGGAAATTTAGAACAACTTTTCAAATGGGATTTCAATGAACTAGTCCCATTCAATTTAGTATCAGCAAAGAGCTCTCTTTCACAATAATTGCATCTAGCTTCGTTATCACCACTATCTGTAATAAACTTATGGAAGTGATCCCATACCTCCGACCTTTGTGGTTTAGCCTTCGGTTTACTCTTTTGAGTCTTTTCAACCCCAGTACTTGTAGTTGTTCTGCTTGTTCCACCAGCACCAGTTATACTTTCATCATTTGCTCGTGCTTTGGCCCTTGTTCCTTTTCCTTTCTCAATTGAATCTGAATCCGTTGATGATGTTGATATCTAGTAAAAACAAACCAAAAAAAAAAACAATTAGACAATCAATAAGCAGCTAACTAATAATTTACTACACTGCTTAATAATTTAGCAATTAAGCAATACTATTATACTAAGCAACTGACTAGCAGTGAGGCATGTATTAATGTAAACAAATACATTATGGCCTATGGACTAATCACTAATGGAATACTAGGTATGTATTAATTTAAACAAATACTAACTAGTAGCAAGCACAAGTAGTGATTAATTTAAACAAATACAGAAATACTACATAGCCAGAAACATTGCAAAGCACAGACATATATAGTATGGTGGCCACTGAACACAACTTTATGAGCTACATGACATTAATTAATTAGGCTAATGGCCATAAAAATGTACAGAATCTGTTCATTTCAGATAATATAATACAATGAAAATTCTACAACTACGCTGACACAGAGACATTATTAAACAGCACAGACATCACTTGCTTACTTAGTGTGCTCCTATTTACTGTATACTGACTAGTAGCAGGCAGTGAGGGCCTCACACAGAACAGAAATGCACAATAGCTATGGCTTATGGAGATTGAGAGAACTTAGAGAACTTACACTATGATTTGGAGGAGGACTCGACCGACTCGTCGCACATCGCTCACTGAGGGGAGTTCGACCACTCTGAAGACAGAAGTTCTTTTTAATCTGCATGGTCTGAACTGCTGAAATCGCGACTCGAAGTTTGCAGGTTACAGGTCGCAGGTCAATTGCAGGTCATCAGCTGAAGGCGGAAGTCGCGAGTCGAAGTCGTAAGCCGTAGCAGCGAGCGCCAAGCAGGATGAACGATGGAGAGGGAAATGCAGAAATAGTATTAGGGCTCAGGTCGGCAAGGTCGCAGGTCGGCTCATCAAGAAACTGAGAATGTGATTTGTGATTTGTCTTTTACCCTATTAGGGATACTAGGAAAGTTTGGGCCTTGGGGCTTTGGGCTCAGTGGAAACATTAAAATGTATGGGAGTAGTGGGCTACATAGAAATATATGGACATGTCCCCTCGGTTTCTCGGTCGGTTTTAATTTTTTTGGCCCAAAACCGATAACCGACCGAAAATTAAAATTTTCGGTCGGTTCGGTTATCGGTCATCGGTTTTTCGGTCGGTCTGGTTATTTTGCTCACCCCTAGTCGACGGTGGTGGGCTGGGTTGTGGATAGGGGTTTGGGGGGGTTTCGGCCGGGTGAGAGAGAGTGAGGGAGAGAGAGGGAAAGAGAAAGAGAAGAAGAAGAGGAAAGAAGGGTTTTTGATTTGGGGATTTTTGGGTTTAGGGTTTTGGAAGGAGGGTTAAGAGGATTTTGATTTCCTTAAGTTTTAAGAAACACTTATGGTCTAATGGTTAAGAGCTTAGTCTTGGAAGGGAGAGGTTTTAAGTTTGAAACGCCTAGGCTACACTTTGCTTGTTTTCCTTTTTGGCCCTTAGAGTTTTACCCTTACTAGCCTCAATGTGGAATTAAAGGCTCTAAGTCAAGACCTCCTAGGTTGCCTAAGTATTATTTCCAAGGCCTAGTGCTCACGAGGGAACACAATTAATTATTTTAATTAGCTCCACGGATGGGACACGGAATTAAGCTAATTGGATCAATTAATTAATTCCACCCACAACAAAAGGGGTTACCTGTGAGGCCCTCGTCTCCTATAGCTACATCTTCGGTTTCGGTTTCGACTTCGGCTTTGGTTTCAGCTTGAGTGCGACTCATGATGAACACCTTCCCAGGTGCTCCATAGCTCCCTCGGTTATTCATATTTCCTTGTTGCCATGTGGGCAGTGGTCTAGCACATGCGGGTTGGCTACATTCAAAGGACCTATGCCCTTTCTCCCCACAATTGTAGCATAGCACGGCGTTCCCTTAGCAATCATTCCCCGGGTGATCCTTACCACATCTCTTGCACAGGAAATGTCTTTCCCTGCCCTTGCTGCTTCCTCTAGGCGGTCCTCGTATCTGTTGAGGAGTCACCCTAACGTTGGAATCGTTCCTTGCCCTTTTGAAGCTAGTGCTTCCTCCACCGTCGTTCTTCCTTTTTGCCTGCTCTTGGACTCCCCGTTGCATCAGCTGTATCCGATAGAGATCGGCGGCGCTACAGTAGGCTTCGCTGAGAGTTTTTGGCTTGCTCATGGTCAAGGCTTTTCTAGCCTCAAAGTTGAGCACAACAACAAATTTCTCTACTTTAGTTGCATCCGTAGGGACCAACATGTGGGCGAAGCGAGCCAACTCTAGGAACCTCTTGTGGTATTCTACCACTTCGAGAGTCCTTGTTTTAAGTGAAGGAACTCTTCGTACATAGCCACTCTCACGTGCGAGTGATAGAAGCGTTCTCGAAGACTACCCTTCAAAGCTTCCCAATTGAAACTCGGTTCTTGTCTACAGACTGGGCCTTCATGAATCCACCATAAGTCGGCCTCGTGTCAAAAGTAAAACGATGCCAACTCGACTCGGCGCTCTTCTGGGCACCCCACTACTTCAAAGATCGTGTCAAACGTCTAGACCCATTCCTCAAGTATCGTGGGGTCTTCCTCTCCAGCAAAGATAGGAAGACGATGGATCGACACCTGACGAGTTACGTCGCAATTCCTATCGGGCGGAGGATGGTTGTTGTTGTTGTGGAGGTGGTTGTTGCTCAGTGCTTAGGCAATCTAAGTCAACTGATGCAAGTTCTGGGTCAACTGTTCCTTAGTAGGCGTCTCAGGGGTCCGTGCACCGTTTCTTGGTGGTGCCATCCTAGATTCTACAGGGTTAACATCGGTTATAGATGTGGGTCAGGAATAGGCACCCTTACCTGGTGTCTTAACTACAAGAACAAAAGCTAAAAAGAGAAAAAGCATAGGAAAACTTAACAGAAAGCGATAAATAAACTCACAATCTCACCGCGCGTTCTAAGATTTTTACATCCCAAGTACTTAAACACCTAGAATTCAAGGTTAACATCTTAAAGTCTTATCCTAAAGGCATTAACCTAAGGTCAAACTTAGGCTCTGATACCAACTGTAACACCCCCGATTTTTAGGCTAAATTAAAACATTTTAAACTTAATAAATACGCTGTAATCTATCATTAATACCCAAAATAGGGCGGTAACTACACATAATAGTTTGGGGGTGCTATGCCACATCTAAGCTAGAGAACCTAGATGCACAGGCTACCAACTAACTAATCATAATCCCTAAATATCATCCGAACACAAGATGGCTCACAGGCCATCAAACTAAAGCTAATCTCTAACTAAACTAGGAACCACAGCTTCTTCTAGCGCGCTCACGAGCCAACTAATCTGTACCTGAAAACATATGGTGTAGCACCCGTTAGCGAATAATGCTAACTGCTAAGTAACTCATTCCCACGCGTTGAGTACAATAAGTATAGTTATAAGAAAACCATTTTGAGACTTAGGAATACGTAGATATAGTCCTAAACAACTCTAGCTTTGAAATCAGGATAAGGACTCACGACACACCGTTAACATTGACACAATAAGATAACATAAAGATACAAGCATGCAAACCATGACCACAAAACAAGACAACGACAAGAGACAACCATAACTGACCAAGACCACACAACACGTCCATGTTCCAACCTTATACCAAGTTCCAACCTTTACACCGCTCCAAGCTTATATCAGTTCCAACCTATACCTCGAGGCCACCATGTACTCCATCAGCCTTATCCCTCCGGAGCAATGCTCCCCGTCCATCTATTCCACCAATCTGTTCCGCCGATCCAAGCACACACAGTGCCAAAGGTACCGCAGCACCATAACATAAAATAAATGCACCGCAGAGCAATATCATAAGCACCGCAGCGCTTTATTCAACCAATCGATTTTTTTACCGCCAATCTCATATCTTATCATCATACATGGACATCCACACAGCGTTCAAGACTCAACAACGACTTCATCAAGGTATAACCAGGGGAAGGGATACAACATACGTACGGACTCAACGACCAGTGACATCACTATAAATATACAACCCATGGGGAATATCATAGACCATACTTTGAACCAACACAATACAAGTTTAGACCACATGCATAATCACGACTCACAAATCCTAATTACGGTACTTAGGATATCGCTCTAGACTTACAAACATCAAAGAAGACACTTCGGCACATGGGGATCGACCAAATGGAGGCCAAAAACCACCGCCACGCACCGTACCAGCGGATGGTACGGCGAGTAGACAACCACCCGTCGGCCCCCCACCGGCACAGCTTCGCCGTTCCACCCGCCGATAACATACCACCCGTCCAGCGGGTGGTTAGGTCGGGGTTCGACCCCCCACCAACTACCCGCTGGAACAACCTCCACCGGGAGTTTTCCTACTTTGGGAATTAACCAATTTTGCCCAATTTCAAGTCCAAACGCACCAAAACTCACATCAATCAATAATAGGGACTTGAATACAAAGAATGGCCCAAAAATAACATTAACGAACCCTAAACACAAGCTCTAAACATTCATAAACACAAGAATATGCCCGCAATCACTCAAGATTATCAAGAACATCAAGAATATCAAGAGATCACAATATAAACCCTAAATACAAGCTCTAACAAAGCATAATCACAAGATAACACATTCCATCATTCAAGGATTCCAATAAATCATAACATAGCAAGGAAAATAGGTTTTGTAAGACATGGGTTACCTTTTAGCTTAATTAAACTTCTCACAACTTCCTAAGATATTTCCTCAAGGTCTCCTTCCAATCGATCCTTCCTAAGTTTGGTGATGGAGAATTCTTTGGCTAGATTCTTGGGAGGGATTTTCGGGTATGAGAGAGAGAGATGGGTGAAAAGGGTTCTAAATGCTTTCTAGTTCCCTTTAAATTGGTTTAGGATTCCCAATTAGAATTTGATTAGTAATGGACCCTCCTTCTTTATCCTAACAGGCTTTAAGGGCTTTATTTTAGACAAAGGTCCACGGTCCACCATGTACCACATTAATAAATTAGGGGTTTTGGGTAAAATTAAATCCTTTTAGCCACTCTTAACGGACATCATTAAAATAATGATGGGGTTACTCAGGAATTAATTGAATAATTAATTCGGGCTTGGAGGGTTAAATTACGGGGTGTTATAGTAGCCATTAGATATGCCAAGATCAATGGATGTGGATTATCCACACGGACTCATGGGCAGGGATGGACTCAACTAAACAATGGCATATATATATATATATATATATATATATATATATATATATATATATATATATATATATATATATATATATATATATATATATATATATATTTGTGTGTGTGTGTGTGTGTGTGTGTATATATATATATATATATATATATATATATATATATATATATATATATATATATATATATATATATATATATATATATATATATATATATATATATATATATATATAGGGTTGAGTTCAAATGAGGACAACAATATATAGAGGACTGTGAGGACAAATAGTGGGCACACAACAAATTAATACCAGGCACACAACTTAATACATAATGACACACAAGAATAAATGTAAACATCAGGTTTCGAACCCAGGCTCTATAACTTAACAAATCTAGCACGTGATATACAAACTGTGGCACACGACTACATTCGGCCATGCACACAACATACCGGCTAATGGCACACATTACATCTGTCCTCACA